CAACAATGTATTATTATGACACCTGTGTGCACACGCTGGCAAATGGCTTATGAGTGATTTACTTTGAAATTCGGTTAGGTTATCTGTACCTACTATGTAAAATAATCCGTGTAAACCGTACCAAATTTTGGTTTTTTTTTTTTTTAACAAGGAGGGATTTGGTTTTGGTCAACCGGAAATAGAAAATAATATTATGTAAACTACATTGAAAATGATCTAAAAATCAAGCAAGTATGGTAATTGAAACGAAAAGAAATTTTAAAAGTTGATAACTTTAAAAGCTTGTTGTGAACTGGGAAAAAAACCAAGTGCTTCACACTAGTGAGAAGGTAGATATTTGTCTTGGCTTTATATAAGATAAGTGCATGTATACCGTATGAAAAATATTTAATTTTAATTTTACTTGAGATTATTCAATCGATAATCTCGATAATAATTCTTCAATTCAATCTTACTAATGTTTTCCATTGCATTCGGCAAAAAAGACATGCTACAAAAACATAATGTGTCGATCCGAGTTTAGACTTGACTGATGCAATTAATTCCAAACAACCGTTTTGTGTGTAAACCGGTAATACAAACCGTGTTTTATAACAATTACAATTAATTCGGAACCCCTTTTAAAACGAATTCAATTGAGGTTATTTACATTTTTTATTGGATTGTAGGGTGAACTGAGTAATTAATTATTGCATTGTCGTTATTGTTTAGAGTAGGTCAAACTGTTCTATTCTAAAATCCGTTTATACAGCGTTATCTCTGAACGGATACACTATATCTATGTACCGTATATTATACATATAAGCCATATATTTTATATATAATTTAATAAATGTAGATTGAAAACGGTCGGCTCGACCTGCATCTCCAGTGTTGCTTTTTTTTTTGAGCCGATTTGTGCTGCTTTATAATAATATTAGGGTTTGAAATTAATTAAACCACTAAATGTGTCCGGCAGGTAATTACTTTTGCCGGGATAAAAAAGTGAAACTATATAACTCTTAACAAAAACTTTGGCGCACAAATAAAGGAGGGGAGGGCGGTGTTGTTGGATTCAGGTCATTCAGACCCCTTTAAGGTACCACAGAATTTGTAAATTAATATATGTATACAGATCACTATGTGTATTATAGAATATAGCACATTCGTTTGAACGTCTTGACATACATTTAATTTATATTTTTGTCGAAGAACGTGATGGATCGATGGGCGGTTTTATCATTTTCTGTACATTTTCTTGTGCGCAGCAGTTCACATAATATTATATTATATTATATTATGGTAATGAACCTGGCAATTCACTTTATCGACTGTTGACGTCACGGAACAGAACGGTTTGCACTTATGTCAGCTCGAGTGCTGCTTGCTGCTTTCCAAAGTATAAATTATAAATGTCCCCACATGCATAATATGCTCTTTGGATATTTTATTAACTTCCCAATGAAACGATAATATTGTGTAAACGTTAAAAAACTCACTAAATGCTTTTTAATTAGTTAGAAATCTCGGTACGAATGTCTTAACCCGGGTCTTGTAGGTTAACGGTAATTGATAAGTAATCGATTTTGGAAGCGACGTTAGAAACAAATTACCCGCGACTAGAACTTAAAGTTAAATTAGAAATTTTCGGAGAAACGAGTTGTATAGTATACCACGACCTAATCGAAATTAGAAACAGATAGTTGGACTTGATTCGAATAAAACGTTATCAAAATATAATCATCTAGACAACATACAATCCGAGTAAAAGTTATTTGAATAATTCCAAACACAATTACTATTCGAATGACAAATTATTTAATTAGTTTTTAAGTGATTTTTTGGAGTAATTATAATTTAAACATCATTTGCAGGTAACGGCACCAGTGATTAGCACTACCTCAATTTTTGGCAGTATAGTATTTTTTTTTATTCCACATAGAATACAGAATCAGGTTTTATATCAGACAGAAGATATTTTATACCGTCGAGATACACATTTTTTACACAAAATCCATTTAAAAAAGAAATTATCTGATGTAAAAAAAAAAAACATTGCATTGCCAATGACTGGATTATAGTGCTAATCACTGGTACCAACGTACAGGGGAAAAATGTAAAATTCGAATAAATTGTGCAGTAAATATTCGAATAACAATTTGCACAATTTATTCTGATTAGACGCTTAACTCAGGCTCGTAGGAAAATATAGTTGTGCATAATAAAATAGTAAAATAGTTAGTGAAAAATATAGTTGTAATTAATAATTATTCGAATAAAAATTGTTATCCTGTATATTGTTCTGGTTTTATATATTTTATGAACGTAGTAAATACTATATTTATTCGAAATAATGTTTTAAAATATATTCATTTCAATTAAGCGCTTACAAACTGTTTAAATATTATGTTTACAAATTATTCGAATAATTTTTCATCCGAATAATTTCAAATTCAATTATTCGAATCAAATATGTATAAATTATGTTTGGAATCATTCGAATAACTTTTACTCGGATAATGTGTTATCAAGACGTTTTATTCGGATGATGCACAACTCTGATTGGAGACTTAGCATTGGAGACTCGTCGTTTAGAGCTTAACTCGAACCGTCTTGAGAGGTGGAAAATTCCGCGCCTGTGGTTTTTTTTCTTATTCCATACTCTGTAAGTGTCGATATAAGTGACGCCAACATTAGGCACGTGCGGTCGAATTGTGCGTCATCGTCCAAATGAAAAGACAATACTTAAAAACCGCGGAAAAGCAGCAAAAGAGCAACGTCAATGGTAGTGTCTATTGTGTGTGCTGTCAAATGTCTAAAGGTGTCTTCCGACGAAAGGCGGAAGCGGGTCTTCTTTTTCTTTCTTTTTTAACCTAACCGAGGAACTACACGTCTTAATTATTGTTGCACGTTTGCCGTCCACACACTACACATATTATTATTATTATTACTATTACTATTATTATTGTACGGCATAAGGTTCTTGCCGAGCTTTGTTTTCGGCGTGGGATTCGGCCGCCTAGTCGCCATGGCAACGTGTCGTCAATCATTTACCGTCCTTGGGCACGGGCATGGGCTGGGTGATTAACCGAACTCGAGGTGTACAGAGCACATACGCCAATACTGTACAACACTCGAGTGTCAAAGCAATAATACAATTATTATTATTATTATTATTATTACTATTATTACAGTCGAATCGAATATATATATATATATATATATATATATTGTGTATAGTAATGGGTCGCTTGGGGGTAACCTAACCGAAGGGTAGGTAAATATTGATACCGAATATTATTATGCCCGTGCTTTATTTATTTATCCCATTCCCATATATTATTACATATTGTCTTATCGTTGGCGCGCATCTAGAGGGCAGGCTAAGCAAGTACAGACCTTTCCTGAAAACTCTGAAAGCTTGCTAATATTTTTTTTTTTTTGGAGCCTGAACAAGTTTAGAAGGATTTGAACTTCCCTAGCCCCCGCCCTCCCCTCTAGTTGCGCCTGTGTATCTTATTTTTATAAACTTGTATTTTTTTTCTAAAATTATTTCAATAAATAAATAGTTCACTTAGCTGTTTTTAGAGCTGTGTGCGATCATTCGAATTTCAAAAAAAATGTTTTCACATGGATGTATCTTAAGTTACATACTTTGATAGGGTTTACTTATAACCAACGATAAACAAACGTTATCACTATCCAGCGCACCTTTGTCGTTTATAACTCAACAGTATTTAATAAATTAGAATTAATATAAATTAGGATGAGTAAACTATGAACGCGTCGAGTGCTCAGGACTAATCTCATACTTGAACGATACAAACAGTTATAAATTATATATATGACTTTGATAAATGTGCAGAAATTACAAAAAAGCTATTTGTATATTGCCATTTGTGTGCAGCGGTTGGACCACCCGACGTGATACTATATTATTATGTGGTCTTGTAATGTATTTTGTACGGTATAAATACTGAACGTTCCATTATAGTAACAATACAAAACGAAAAACAAAAATTTGAAATTTTTTTCTCGGTTCTAGCGCAGCACACGTTAGTTTGTCGTACATGTGTGTACTAATTGATTGTGCACATATAACTACAAGAAAGCGAAAGTTATTAGTTTGGCACGGTTAACACAAAACCTACAGCAGCGTTCAACGAATAATTTCCAAGACACCGTGCCAACTTGCCCACCGACGGATTGCACTTCTTTTGTTGCCCTAGAGTCTTAAAATCTGTAGTCCAGATTTGTTTTCCCTGTTCGACATATGTTATGGATACATATGAGCCCTATCTGCTGATTAATTTTCATCTTGGAGGTTAAACTTCCCAGATTTGATGGGAAATAAGTGTAATTTAAATTTGAGCCCGAGACACCTCAAGTATGGTTAAAAGCTACATATTTTGTAACGATGCGAAGACAACATTTGAGCAACACAACACAATTTGGTTTCAGAAATACCGGAGAGGCACGAGATAGGTCATTTTCTGCATACAAGTGTATTGGCGTTTGATAAAGTGAAACATGATTGAACTTATAGAAACATTGAACATAGCTGTTGGAGATTTTGAGAATAATGAGTAATCTGTATTGGATTCAAACAACGGCGCCAGATTCGCATTGACGGAGAACTCTCAATCAGAGAATGTCTCAATAATTAAGCGGGAAGTGAGGCAGAGGTGTGTGTTTGGCCATTACTGTAATTAAATATATTATACTAGGAATTCATCTCCGTTCAAGATGACAATTGCCTTTGAATCGGATGTACAATTCAAGGATTTGTGCACGCAGAAGGTTTATATATATATTTTTTCAAATGTTTTATTATAAGATTTCTTTTAAAAAATACCTTCTCGGTTTGGCATCGAAGGTTAAAAATGTGAATATTTTTTTCATAAAAAACCACGTGAACAAACACAGACAAATGACATGCCAATGACTGATCAAATAATTAACAATCGTTGTATGTCTTTGTGTACCAATTAAAATTCTGAACATTTGGAATTATACACAAAACCATAGTAGGACGTGTGTCTGAACAGAATTTTCAATTTTTAAGTGTAAATTACCATATTTTTTTACACGACTGTTGTGGCTCATCGTGTATGTGTTTCATTACATCTTAAGCATAAAAGTTGTTTTTTAAGCTGAATAAAAACATAATGTTTTTTAAAACGATAACATTGTGTGCGTTGTTCGTAGCTCTTCCCCACGTTGTGGACAATTATCGTATAGTTAGATCTACACCACAAGTATGTTTGTCAAAGTGATTTTGAATTTATGTACTCTTTATAATAGTGTACTTAACAATGAAGTATGTCATAAATCCAGAACTCACGTCGGTCTTTCAAGCCGGTCACTGAAGATTGGCAAAGAAACATATGCGCCAGGTCGAATGACATGTTTCAGTTCATTCAAGCAACCGTGCCACGAAGAGTAAGCAAGCCGTTGACTCGTCCAACTGTTACCATTGACGTGGTCGGAGATGGAAACTGTTTTTTTTCTGCACTGGCAAAGTGGCTAACTGGTTCGTTCCAATGCAGTGGCTCGTTGCGAGATATTCTGGTCAATGTAATAACACAAGAAAAAAAAACAATAATTTAGTCGATGAAATAATCTGGTCAATATAATAAATACATATATTCACTTTTAGTTTATGAGAAGTTCACAGATAGCTCATTCGTTGTTCGATGGGAACCCGACCGAAACACTGGACCAACATTTACACAATATGGCCCTTAATGGTACATTTTTGTCGATTAACAACACATTGGGTTTCCAATATTTTTTTTTTTCTAAACGTTTTATCAACATTTTTACATTTTTTCTGGTTTTCAATAGGGACGTTTGCAAGTGAGGTGGAATTATATGCTGCGGCTGAGATGTTAGGTACGTCGATTTACGTTTATTCTAGAAACGAATGGCAATTGTTCAGTAAGGATGGTGTACATGGCATAGCGACGGACGAGCCTAGTCTGTACCTGAAACACACAGGTGGCAATCACTTTGACATTGTAGTAGACGTTTATTGAAACAAAAATTAACTTTTTTTTCCATTCTCACATAAAAAAAACTGCACAATTATTATCGCAACATCATATTGTTATGACGTTATTTTTAACCTATAAATAAATAAATATACTCTTTACAATCAATTAATATTTTTGTTAAAACTATTATTTTACAATCTAGAACGACAGATGATCATATCAGATAACAGAATCCATTTCATGTATGATCTTATGAAATATATAGTCAATCGAGGAGTCATTTGATTTGATTGTTACTAAATACTTAAGTAGTTATTTGTTTGTACAGTGAAAAGGAATTTCGTTTTCCTCTAAAATCCGATTTTCTCTGCTTGGACGTGGCTAATCCTCGATAGGGAGAGGAAGCTACTAGAATCCGGAGTAAATATTTTAAACTGTTTCAGTTAAAAGTTGCAAAAAGAGAGAGGCTTCGAATCTCCCGGGTGTATTGTCGTCCGGCTCATAGAAAATAAATGCTTTGATTAACGTTGAACCCGTGTGTGGTAAGGTTCTATGTTAATTTAATCCTGAAAACGGATTTTATAAGCAGGAATGCCAGCACTTAGGGATTTTCTATACATTTATTATGTATTTGGTCGTTTCGGACCTTAATTTACTCGACTAGTTCCCGTTGTGGCCGCACCACACTCCGTCAAAGCTTCCACGCAAACGGTTGGCTGTACTGTACAATAATATACAGTGCAGCCAATCCACTCGGTTGGCTGTACAGAATTTAAATAGAAACATCAACCAATCAACACCATTGGATAATTGTTATAGTTCTTTGATTGGTGTTTTGAATAACGTTTGTAATCTGTATACCTTAGAATAATAATATGAATAGATGAACTAACATTAATGATAATTGCTTGTTTGCTATTTATTGAAGTAAACAAAAGGACTAAAACCAGTATGATCACACAAACGAAAAAAAAATTTCATTGTTGTGCGGTTGGTTACTCTTAAGATAAAATATCTGTTCAAAGATATCGTGGGCTAGACACAAAAAGATATAAAAATATTTTTTAATAAAACCACTTGTACTAACACAGACTGTGCGCGCACCTCGTCGGTGCATTATTAAATAGTTAATAATCGTTTTATGTTAATGTGTACCTATTAAAGTTTTAAACATTTGGGATTATACATTAAAAACTTAAAAAACATAGTCAAACAAGTACCTCATCTGAGTAAAAACTAGATAATAATATTTCAATCAATAGTTAACAAAGATCAATATTATAATATATCCCAGAAGAGCGCGCCATAAAGAACTTGGTTCCAATATAACAGTTTTTTAAGTGGACCAGTTTGTATAAACAACTGCCAGCCAACTTTGAGTTATTTTAGAATATCAATATTGAAGTAGAAATTAATATACATTTTTTTACACTACTGTTGTGACTTCATTATTTCATTACATCCTATGCACAGAGGTTGTTCTAACGTTGAATAAAATAATAATGTTTTTTAAAACGATAACTTTGTGTGCATTGTTAGTAGCGTTTGCCCACGTTGTGGACAATTTTGGTTTAATTAAGTCATGTATATCATGTACACCGCAAGTACGATCAAAGTTATTTTGAATTTATGTACATTTTTTTAAAAATTTTTACTGTCATCGAAAAACCAATAGTGTACTTATCAATGATGTATGTCTTAAATCCAGAACTCACGCCGGTTTTTCAAGCCGGTCACTGAAGATTGGCAAAGAAACATATGCGCAAGGTCGAATAATATGTTTCAGTTCATTCAAGCAACCGTGCCACGAAGAGTAAGCAAGCCGTTGACTCGTCCAACTGTTACCATTGACGTGGTCGGAGATGGAAACTGTTTTTTTTCTGCACTGGCAAAGTGGCTAACTGGTTCGTTCCAATGCAGTGGCTCGTTGCGAGATATTCTGGTCGATGTAATAACACAAAAAAAAAACAATAATTTAGTCGATGAAATAATCTGATCAATATAATATATATATTCACTTTTAGTTTATAAGAGGTTCACAAATAGCTCGTACGTTGTTCGATGGAAACCCGACCGTAACACTGGACCAACATTTACACAATATGGCCATTAACGGTAATAGGTACATTTTTGTCGATTAACAACACATTGGTTAGGTCCGATTATCTTTGTTTCAACAGTTTTATCAAAATTGTTACCTTTTTTCTGGTTTTCAATAGGGACGTTTGCGACCGAGGTGGAATTATATGCTGCGGCTGAGATGTTAGGTACGTCGATTTACGTTTACTCTAGAAACGAATGGCAATTGTTCAGTAAGGATGGTGTACAGGGCATAGCGACGGACGAGCCTAGTCTGTACCTGAAACACACAAATGGCAATCACTTTGACATTGTAGTAGACGTTTATTGAAACAAAAATTAACTTTTTTGCCATATTCGCATAAAAAAAACTGCACAATTATTATCGCAACATCATATTATTATGACGTTATTTTTAACCTATAAATAAATAAATATACTCTTTACAATCAATTAATATTTTTGTTAAAACTGTTATTTGAAAATCTATAACGACAGATGATCATATCAGATAACATAATCCATTTCATGTATGATACTATGAAATGTATAGTCAATCGAGGAGAACGAGTGATTTGATTTGATTGTTACTAAATACTTAAGTAGTTATTTGTTTGTACAGTGAAAAGGAATTTTGTTTTCCTCTAAAATCCGATTTTCTCTGCTTGGACGTGGCAAATTCTCGATAGGGAGAGGAAGCTACTAGAATCCGGAGTAAATATTTTAAACTGTTTTCGTTAAAAGTTGCAAGAAGAAAGCGGCTTCGAATCTCCTGGGTGAATTGTCGTCCGGCTCATAGAAAATAAATGCTTTGATTAACATTGAACCCATGTTTGGTCAGGTTCTCTATTAATTTAATCCTGAAAACGGATTTTATAAGCAGGACTGCCAGCACTTAAGGATCTTCTATACATTTAATATGTATTTGGTCGTTTAAATAACGTTTGTGCTCTTTTAATAAACCCACTTGTACAAATACAGACTGTGCGCGCACCTCGCCATATAAACATTTGGGATTATAAATTAAAATCTTAAAAAAACATAGTCAAACATGTGCCTCAACTGAGTAAAAACTATTTGATATTATTTGATATTTAATACTATTTATAAAATAAGTAAGTAATGCTGGTACAACCGGATCGTCACCGTAAGTATGTTCAAAGTCGATTTGAATTAATGCACTTTATAATTGTATTTTTGACACTGAAAAACAAATAATGTACTTAACAATGATAGATAGTATGATTTATAGTATCTGCTCGATAATGGAAACGAACTAAATCAACAACATTTTACTGAAAAAAGCCTACTAATACACAAGTAATCGGAATTATAACAGATAACGAAAAGTGATAAAAACCACGGCTACCAACCGTCGTGGGAAAAAATGGCGCCAAATTTAAATTAGACGCTATATTCTGAACACCGTTTATTACGACTACTACATCAATAAAGTAAGCTATTTATTAGTTAGGCAATTTATGTTATGTAATCAAATCCAAGTTTAAGAAGGCGTTTTGACCGTACCTATACAATCGTCTCGTTTGCAATTTCATTAGTACGCATGTTGCCAACATAATACAAAGCCGAATCAGAATCAGGCCAAATCAGCTGTACAAATATATTTTATACTTTACCGGATAGAAAAAAATAATTTTAAAAAAATGAATAAAAAGACAGACGTTTTTCTATCCTTGTGGCGGTTGCCGCTGACCGTAGTGTAACATTGTATTCCAGGCAACCGTGCAATAAAATATTTGCTCACACAAGGAAATCCGTTAAAATTACCTTCACACTCGACCCGCGTTAGATTTATCTAATGGTAAAAGAAAATAAACGGCGGTCCTGTGTATATATATATATAAGTTCGACAGGCTTCTTAACATATTCCACGCGCTCGGGTCTAGAGGGATGAGCAGCCGATGGTAGGATTAAAACGATTTCCCCAATTGTAATGTCTTTAAAGTGAACGCGACGTCCATACGAAATTTCCAGATTAAACTCAAGCGACAACGACACTTACAAAACGGTTTTATTTTTTTGTTATTTACTACTCGAAGAAACGTACAGCCTGCGAGCACGAGGAAAATACAATTCCACGCTTCAGGCAATCGATTGTGAACCGGATAATAATATATAATAGCTTGTACGGTATATTCAAGAAGTAAGCAAAAGGACTAGAACCAGTATGGCCACAGAAAAAAAAAAAAATCTTTATTGCAGTGCGGTTGGTACTCTATGTGATAAAATACATTTTTTTGAGATACTGTTATCATTGATAACAGTTATCATACTGTTATCATTGACTACTGTGTCACTACGGTATATTGAACGATATTTTTTTCTTCTAACTAGGCAGACTGTAGACTTAATAGTATAGCAACTCCTTGGATTGGAGCCAAGGAAAGAAGGAAAAAGTATAGCATCACACTCATTACTAGTTTACCAATCGATAACGTATCTATTTAATTCGACACGTTAGTTTGTCTAAAATAAGTTCCACGTATAGCCATCAAGAGATAACGTCATGTAGTCAATGTTGCAACTGTTGTCTTAGGTATTTGGGTAATATGTTCTTAAACATATATCCGTGTACCGTGTCAAGAAAATGGCGTCAAAGCGGGTAAAACAAGACGTCTTATCGAAGGCAATACACTGACTGGATTTCGCGTGAACAGTTTGCCGGTAGTATTTAGAAAGAAGAAAAAACCATGACACGGTATACTCAAGGCGATGCATTATACACTCGAAGGTCGGCCTTCTCTCATTATCTCTTGGGCGTCTCATCGCCATGACGACGGACCAGCGCCTCGGAGTGAAGTGCAATGAAAATGTAATTTGCCACCCCGTTAGAGAGCCAGAGAAATATCGAATAAAAACGTCCACCGCGTTGAAAATGACGGATGCCAATGGTTTTTTGTATACAACATAAACTAAAAGTACTTTGAAATTTCAATCCAAAAGAACACAGTTGTCCAACGATGCCATCAGACAGACATCTTATGCGATACCAAGACGAGAGTTCAATGTGTTTTCATTGGATCCGGACCGGAAGAGGTTTTGTTATTTTTTAATGTTTTGGAAAACGAGAGCTTTCGCTTGGAGCTCTGAAAAGTAAACAACGTGGATCCTACAACACATTTATAATAATATAATGCACGTCTTTCGGTTGTTATTCCACCGCAAGTCGAGGCGAATTTCCATAAAAAAAACAAATCTGGTTTACTTAAGTCAGTCTGCCCAGTTAGATGAAAACAAAATACCGTTCAATATATCACGGTGATCTGTTATCTGTGATAATGATAACATTATCTTGAAATAAAAAAACAATAATACTTTATGATAAGGAATTCTTATCAAAAACTGATAAGCTAAGAATTGCCAAAGCAAAATTTCCATATAAAATAAAAATATCTTAAAAATAATAGTTTTAATAATTTCATTGCTGTAAACTACTGTAGTTTAACCACAGAATAAATGAAATCGAAAATCGGACAGTTTTAAGTGTAAACAAAAACGTGGCGGCCATGTTCTAAACCTGCTATACACAACTAATAATAATAATAATGTATGGACGATTCTGACATTCATGTCCGGCGATCAATAAAACGGATAAGGATAATGTTCGAGATTATTGTCAATTAACTAAAACCGCTAGTTCTGGTCATGAACGATAGTGGTCAGTGTGGGCGAATAAGCCCGTAAACCGTTAGCAAACCGTCAATACAATAATGTTAGTTTTGACCCGAAGCCAATATAGGAGCTTCAACAGCTGTCAAAATACTCATTATTTACACTCTGAACAGTGATTATTAACAGTAAGGAACACTGACCGCGACCTAACCGACCTTGGCTTTTCGGTGGTATGTTTTTTTATTTCATTATAATAAGTGTCTGCGCCAATTATTTGTACACACACACACAGTTAAAGTTAATTGAAAAAATAAAAAATGAAAAATATTCAGATTCACTGGAAGCGGACCAACAACGGTCTTGAAAACAAAAAAACGATAACTATCAAAGAGGGCAAAAAAAGCAACTGGTAGTGATAAATTATTATTAAGCAGCAGACGGATAATGCCGACCGTAAAAAAAATCGCCTGCTCGGAAATTGGCGCCTCGTCTGAATTTTTTTTTCATCTATTTAACCATAGGGAATTACAAAAAATAATATATAGTCCTCTGGCAATAGTCCAGATAGTGTCGCAAGACCGAAACACATTTTTATTTCGACCGTGTCTCAGTTTTAAAAGTTTTAAATTAAAAAAAAAACAAAATGTATAATATACTTAACTTATGGTACAATAAATTGTATCTATGCCGCAGGCGTTGACGTCATATGGATAATTAAATTATCATATTTTTATTTTAGCTTCCATTCGGACTTGAGAAGGTATTGTTTTTTTCAAATGATGTGTTTTCAAAACATAAATATATGTTTTTGGGATGGCTACACATTTTTTTTTGTCTGACCGATTTCCGTAACGCTTTATATTGACACTGATAACACATAAGAGATAAGAGATTAGATACTAGAGATACGAGATAAGAGATTAGAATAATTTAAACTCGTATTAAAATTTAAAAAAATTTTATAAAGCCCAACATTAAAAAGTAATGCCAACAAAATACATGAATTCATTTAATTTTAATGAATGATTTTGATTTTCTTGTTGTCGACCGTAAAAACAGCTAAATTCTATTATACAAAATAAACATTTCTTTAAGTCCTCATTATAGCAAATATGTTTGAAATTCTTTTACTGCCAGACAACTCAAAGACAACAATAGCGAGTAAAGACGGATTACAAAACCTTATTTACCCAAAACTAAATTGTCATTTGAAGTACAGCAACTGAAAGACGTTTTTGTAACGCTTAAATCTCAAACCGAAGAGGTGGACAAGAGTCAGCTGTTACAAACATAATATTATAATTTCAGGTCCTCTGTGTCCTCTGCTAGTATTGAATTTCGGTGGACTTGCTGTGTGTGTGTGTGTATTGTTTGACGGTACATGTATCATATTTATTGTGATTTAATAGTCATTTCCAAGGTAATTACGCGCTGAATTAACATAATAATGTCCTCTTGCACGGTGTACGGTTCGCCTTTGGGGGCCATACGATCAATAAACCCTAGTGGATGAGATACCTATCTCTGGAGCAGTTGCTTAAATTGGTTTTAATATATTATACAATGTTCAAATTAATAAAAAATTAATAAACAAACGGTCTCGGATCCGTCGAACAAAATGAACTGACAAAAACAACATTTATGGCTGTTGGCTTTGTGTGTTGTACAAACACATGGAATGTATTTTTTACCATATTTAAAAGAAGATAAATAATACAGTATTTTGTTTCTGAGTGTTTTGGAAGAGAAAAGGTATTTTTTTAAAAATATTTTTATGTTAAAAATGTCTTTGGAACGTTTCAAGAAAAAACATTTTAGTTCGAACCCGGTGTTTGTTGACATTGCTCTTGAATATGTTTGTTCGTGAAAGAATCTTAAAAACACAAAATATTACTACCGCAGACGTTTTATGTGTATTTCGAAAATATTAAAAGAGAAAAATAAACGATGTTTTTTTTCTATTTTTTTTTTTTACCATGTAGTTATAATACTTACCGTCTCCCAAGATATTAAAAACATAAAATACTGGCTTTGAGCGTGCACGGTACACATTCGCTATTAATTATAACGTGTCGTCACGTTCATCATACATACTTAGTAAGTTATTTATGTTAATTTAAGAAATAAAATAATCCGACTACTCTATATATTTGCTGTTATTTTTTTTTATGTTCTAAAAATACCAATTAAAAGAGTAATGACCATGTTTTTTGATTTGTACACGTTGACAAAACTTAATTATGTACTTACACGTCATAATCGCACTCACCATTGATTCGGAAATGTTCTTTTTTATTATTATTTCATGTTTTTTTAAACGTTATCATTCATTTTGACGACTATCCATTAACGTTAGTACTTTTGAACACCATGTTTGATACAAAATATTTATACATGATATCAATTTAATTTCATCAATTCAAATCAATTCATTTACTTTACCTAACCGAACTCCAAGTGTGGTGTTTTAATTAATATTGTAAAATTACATAAACTTGAATAATGTCTCCAAAAATAGGAAATTAATTTCTTATCCTTATTAAATGAATCACCTTGTCACGTCACATACTTACCTACGAAAGCTCATCTAGTGACTATTATACTATACTTGACTCTGCTTGAGTGAGCAGTATAAAAAATTGACACCAAACTTTACTGAAGTACCTACAAGCCACTGAAAGTTGAGAAATCAACAGTACTTATATCTCGAGTGCATTTTGTGTACAATGTGTAAAAACATGTCCATCTCTATAGTTTTTTAGTTGCATTTGAGTAAACAGTACGTTGTGTGTGAGTCTAACTGCAGTGGTGTTTTTTTTTTTTTTACTGTACTCATACGGTACACTTAAAATTCAACACTTTAAATTTTAACACATAAGCACCACGCCAATTATTATTATCTCTGAGACCCCCGTATCTAGTTGGAACTACTCCAAAACGGTATATTAATAATAATAACAATAATAACGATACGTTTCAAGTTTAATAATTCATATAAATGAAATAACATTACAACTAGTACTGTAATAATAATAATAATAACGCGTTTTGTTTTTGTGTGTGTTTGTTGCAGTCACGTCACTCAAACGGCGTCTTGGCTTCCGCCCGTAGAGGCGTGGCCCAAGGACCCGGCTGCCAAATCTTTACCGTACGGCTGGGAACAAGCTCAAGACGGTGATGGAAGACCTTATTTTATCAAGTGAGTGTACATGTTTACAAAACATACATACGTATAATATTATAAGAAAATACATCCGTTCGGTGTAATGTCTCTATATAATATGTTTTCTGATTGTAACCAATATTATACTCAAGCGTGGTGCTATAATAGTTTACAGACTGGCTGAAAAGTATGACGATCCTTCCAGAACAAATTTTAATTTTAATTCATACCATACTTAACGTGTTACCTTAATTTAGAAAAGTTTTTGCTGATAATTTGTTTGTTTTAATTGTTTAAAAGTCATTAAACCAAGTCCTCATCAACTATACAGTTCAATAGATAAATTTGAGTTTCACATGATAACACGATGATGTGATAATATTATAACTGATAAGCAATAAGTTTTATACCACATGGTCGCTGCAGTGAAAGAAATTTAAAAAAATATGTAATTTTGTCGTTCTGGTCACACTGCAGCTCGCCTTTTTGTTTACTTCATAATATTTTACTTATTACCGCCCCCTGATTCAATATCTGTACAATAATAGTGCCGCCATAAGGATAATTTTTTTTTTTTTAAACAATCATATAGACCATTCTTGTTTTTACTTATTCGAGATGTTCGGTTTAAGGTGTTGTGTCCACTGAATTAAATATTATATGGAACGCGTATGCCTATAGTCGGCTGCTTAAGAAATTGTCCTCTACTAAGAAGCTGCCATTTATTAAATAATATGCCGGCGTTATCATCATATTATCATCCTAACCTTACCTAAAATTTCTACGATTTATCAAATATGTGACGGCGTTATCACAGAATAAACAGAAGGGAATCCACAGATGTATTCAATAAACAGCTATATTGCTAACTAGTGATAAGGACGGAAGTCGACGTCCGCCATTTTTGTGGGATTTATGTGTGTATAAAATAATACCGATACTGTTTTATATCTGTGTGTAAACAAAATAATGTATTTAGTTTCTCTTCTGTTTGTTCTGTAGTGTTATCATCACCTAACCTAACATTTTAATATGTATCATGGGAAAACTAACGTACCATTTTTTACTTTCCATGAAATTTGTACACAAAATGGCGCGTTCCATATATGTTGAGTTCAGCGGTTCAGTTGCCTTTCTATTACTGATCATTACCTACATTTGACCGCGAACTACTTGTATATTAGTATAATATATAAATATATATTATTTCATGTATATATATAGAATAGTATAATATGTCACAAGCGTTCACAGATAGTGCGAAAAACCACAGATATCCAAACAGTTGCCCGTGTCCTCGTCGTTAATCAAACACAGTCTAGCCCATCGCTTGACAGCAACGCACACCCCACCGCTAATGGTGTGAACAGTTCCACTCAAAATGTGTTTTATGATAATAAAATTATACAACAGTTTTATATATTATACACTCTCCGCGTTATATTAGGTAAATTTAATCGAAATTGGATAGCTTTGCCGAGGACACGGGCACGTTTTGTAAACCCCCAGGGAGGCGATCGATCAACGAGCCATTTTTTTCCCAAGACAATATCAAATCACTTTTTATGTCTCGGGTTAAAAAAAATGAGCCGTCGCTTATACATTTGATAACATATTAACAATATTTTCATCAATCTATTCGTTCGCCATGACTTAGAAATATGAAAAAAAAAACGAGGTCGATACTTGATTTAAGTGGGATGAAGGTAGACAATTTCAAAGTATTGAAAAATATAGTAAAATATGTACCTACGAGTATAATAAACATAATTTTCAAAATATTCATATTTGCCAAGAAAATGAGTGTCTTACATCAGGCGGGATCACCTTGTATTCTATTAAAATTCTTTGGAAATATCATTTTTATAACTTCTTTTGACTTTATCAGTCGACGGTAACAAACTGTAGTATTTTTCAGGTGCATGTCATGTCATCTAACTTAACCTTTCTGAAATTCCATAATCATAATATATTTCAAATTATAATTTGTCTTATTAATTAATACCCGAACCGCAGGGTGCTAGCCCATGACAGTTTAATGATCCCGTTCGTCAGGCTTACAATAACTTCTAAAACTCACCGTAATGGATATAATAAATCTGCTGTTTCGCGGTTATTCCATCTTTGGCTAATGTATGCGAAATCATTATCATTGTACAGCCGGCTGTGAAATCTAACTTTCCAGGGCTTTGAATAAACACAACACATTTATATATGTACGTGCATGCACATGAACAGTATTGATGATAACTACTGTGGCCACAGCATAGAAAATGTAAATGGAGTACGCTAAAACAAAAGGCGATTATCAATATTTAAACTGGTCTGCGCGTTAGTATAGGTAAAACCGTTGAGATAAATTTAATGATAGGTATTGTTATTATGTTGCAATCTAATATTGATTTTGTTGATTTGTTAAACGGTCAGACGACTATTTGTATACTGTTTTTCCAGATGTATCGTGTAACCCGTTTAAAAATCACATTGGCCGCAGGTAAATCGTTTTACGCCCTTTTACAAAAAATCTTGGTGTACCCGTCCGTGTGATGATAACAACAATAATACTTAATACTATAACGTGTTGTGTACTTACTTATTGACTTGTACTAACCACCAGCTAATATAATACTCTCGCAGACTGAATAAAACCAGATAATCGCACTGACGCTCTCACCTATTTTACAGATTTCGAATTTCTCATTGGCTGTCTACTTGTTATCAGTAATTGTTATCAGTTTACGTTATCATTGTGCGCTATCAGGTTTTATATTTTAACAAATAAATGCCTTGGAAGAGAAACGAAATGAACGGTATTTTTTAACTACCGTTTTATATTAGTAGAAGACCTGTGATATATTTTAAACATTGTATTATTGGCAAAACATTATGTCCTCCTATACCGTCAAGTCGTTGTATTGCCTATCCGTAGCGCCTTCTTTGTCTGTCTCTATGTGTTTGTGTGTGTTTGTATTATACTAGTTTCGTATAATGTTAACAAAAATTTTCGGTTTTTCGTTCAAACATCAACGTAACGTGAAATCAATATAAAAACGACTCTAGGCGAATTTCGCTTTGGGCCTTCACAGCCCTCACATCGGGTCCCCTGTATCGCTGCGGGTGATTTGATTAAGAATGATGGAATTCCACTGACGAGATAAGATGGTAGGTCGTCGCCGCAAAGGAGCAAATCGATTTCAACGAAATTTCCATGTCGCTCAAAAGCCAAAAATGTCCAATAAACCAGCCGAGGAATACAATAGATACAGTTTGTTTGCAATTCCCTACGCAGTCTTATTCGTTACATTTTATAATAACACTCCACGAGATACATGTATGCGATTATACACGGACTAATAAACCTATTAGCAAGGTATCACCGGTTGTAAAAAAAAAAAATGTTTTAAAATAAATACAACAGCGGTTAGTAGACGGTAAACTTTAGTAATTTTGTTAATTTAATTAGCCGTGTGTTGAAGTTTTGACCGTAAACCAAATGAAAGCGTTTAGTTTCTTTCGCCGCTTTAGTTTCAAGTCTCAAGTGCAATAATTTCGACGACCAAGACCGCTATTTTCTTGTTGTTTGCACAGTATTTTAATATTATACACAAGGTAAGACGGTGTATGTCTGTAGACACTGTGTCTTCGACTTATGAATAAAGATGTAATTATAAAACGGAATAATTGGCAGACGAGCGTGAGGGGATGTGGTTGAAGGGGTCTTTAACAATATTATATATAATCTAATTGTGACAAGACGGGACACACAACAACAATAAGCGACCGCAACTGGTGCTCTGTCCGTAAACAATTAATACCACTAGAAGCATTATCGCATCATACTTCTGGGATCTGACAAATGCTAAAGAACATTTATTCTTTTAGGACACCGTTTTGGCACACGATTCAATGTGTTTCGAACGTAAAATAAACGTATAGTCGGTGACAAAAACGTGAGGGGATTGGACCACATGTGCAAAATTATGACAATTGACATAGCTAAAAAATGTATAAAAAAACTAACGGGGAGTGAACTTTATGGAACACTAAATTATTTCATTTCAATCACTTGTTCAATCACTTGGGCTATATTTTTTAAAAACAACAAAGAAGGGTAATTTTCCTATTTTTTTTTGTTGAGTGAGGGGGGGATTTCCTCATAAAAAAATTTAAAAAAATGTTTGACTACAGATTTTGAGATAAAATACAAATTTATATATTATATTTTAAATGCACAATTATGGGTAAGCGACACGCACATTTTTTATCGTTTCCAGAGGGATTTTTTTTTTATCAAAAAGCAATTCCTGTTTGACTTTTTGAGTGGTTTGTACACGTTATGGATGTGTAATGCGAAACTTGGGGTTTGTTTACACGGAAGAATGAATAAAAGTGAAACCGAACGGACAAATATTTACACGGTATACGTGTGTCAGTTCACGGCCATTAGCCGTTTTGCTTTGTCGACACTGTTCAAATAAAACAACCATAAAACAATTTATTACAGTGTTGAATATTTTTGTAAAGGTTTACGGTAATTACTTACTCACATGACGTTGAAAGGCTTTGCACGATAATACATTTACAAATCACTTAACTTTATCCTGCACAATTTCATTCCAATCTTTTACATTCATTTCGTTTAGATCCTCTGCAGCTCCATCAGTCCATCAATCTTCTTGGATCGGTCAAGTGGTCGTTTACCTTGTGTGGTTTCCATCAGAAAACTGCTTTTGGTGGTTCGCTTTCTTCTCTTATTAGAGACATGGTCTATCCATTGGATGCTTCGACATTTGATAAAACTAGTCACTGGTCCACCATGTCCAACGTTTCCTGCAGTTCCCTATTGTACCTTCCTTGCCAGTTGCCCAAATCTGTATCGAATACAATTCTGTAAACCAACTCTACCAGCAATGAATTCCCTATTACGCCTAGATCGTCTAAGAATCCAAGTATCCGCAGATCTATTGTCGTCGTTGGTCGAATGAACACTGCTACTCTCTTACTAATTTTACCAACGCTAGATTGAAAATACTTGG